GATTATTAAGTTTGCGGATGATACCAAACTGGGAGGGATTGCAACTGCTTTGGAGGACAGGGTCATAATTCAAAATGATCTGGACAAATTGGAGAAATGGTCTGAGTTAAACAGGATGAAGTTTAACAAAGACAAATGCAAAGTGCTCCACTTAGGAAGAAAAAATCAGTTTCACACATACAGAATGGGAAGAGACTGTCTAGGAAGGAGTACGGCAGAAAGGGATCTAGGGGTTATAGTGGACCACAAGCTAAATATGAGTCAACAGTGTGATGCTGTTGCAAAAAAAGCAAACGTGATTCTGGGATGTATTAACAGGTGTGTTGTGAGCAAGACACGAGAAGTCATTCTTCCGCTCTACTCTGCTCTGGTTAGGCCTCAGCTGGAGTATTGTGTCCAGTTCTGGGCACCGCATTTCAAGAAAGATGTGGAGAAATTGGAAAGGGTCCAGAGAAGAGCAACAAGAATGATTAAAGGTCTTGAGAACATGACCTATGAAGGAAGGCTGAAAGAATTGGGTTTGTTTAGTTTGGAAAAGAGAAGACTGAGAGGGGACATGATAGCAGTTTTCAGGTATCTAAAAGGGTGTCATAAGGAGGAGGGAGAAAACTTGTTCACCTTAGCCTCTGAGGATAGAACAAGAAGCAATGGGCTTAAACTGCAGCAAGGGAGGTCTAGGTTGCACATTAGGAAAAAGTTCCTAACTGTCAGGGTGGTTAAACACTGGAATAAATTGCCTAGGGAGGTTGTGGAATCTCCATCTCTGGAGATATTTAAGAGTAGGTTAGATAAATGTCTATCAGGGATGGTCTAGACAGTATTTGGTCCTGCCATGCGGGCAGGGGACTGGACTCGATGACCTCTCGAGGTCCCTTCCAGTCCTAGAATCTATGAATCTATGAATTCAGTTTTTTGTTTTCTCCTTATTGTTAATGTGTAGCCTGAGGCCTTATTTACTACATACTGTTCAAACCCTGCTCTGGACACAGAATTGGTAATTTCCTCATAGGCATTTCTATGGTGCTCATCACTGTAATACCTGAGTGCTTCACAAATATTATTTTATCTTCACAACACCATTGTGAGGAGAGGAGGCATTAGTATCCCGGTTCTACAGCTAGGGAGCTGAGGTATGGAGATATTAATGTCAAACATGTCCACTAATTTGGGGTGCTCGATCTGAGACACATAGGACCTGAGTTTCAGAGTACTTAGCATTAGACAGCACTTTATACATTCAAAGCACAGCTCCCATTGCAGCTGACAGTGCCCAACACTTCTGAAAAGCAGACCTCAAGGTCTGAAGTCAGGCATGCAGAAAATGAGGAACTCACAATTAGTGATCATCTTTGAAAGTGACTTGCCCAGCATCACGTAGAAACCCCGTGGCAGAGGCCAGGGATAAAATCCAGTTCTCCAGTGTAGCATTCCACTGCCTGCACCATGAGACTGTCCTTTCTCTTCTTGCAGTCCCCTGCGTCATTCATTGCATATCTTCCAGCTTCTGCAGCAAATGATGCAGAGCTGCTACAGATAACATCCTCCTTTATTACACAGCCCTGATTCATCCCCAGAGCAGGTCAATCCTGTGTACTGAATGAGGCAGAGGTCCTGTGCAAAAACTAGTATGTGATCATGTAATTAAAGACTATCATACTGAATATGCCCAAGGGGAGTGAATTAAGTTTGCACAGGCAGCATTAATTCTGGCATTTCCTTACTTTTGAGTCCTTGATTTTGCAACCTTAACATTATTGCAATGTAGTTTTTTTGGATGCAATTTCCTACGTTTTAAAAAACTTAAAAATTGAAACAACAAAAATTACATCACAGAACCATATTGAGCCCCAACAGGGGTCATCAGCAGGGTTGGGATCTTTACATGCACATTTCAGTCCTCCACTACTTAAGCTAACAAAGTAAATGGTAGCAATTGTAGGATCTAATCTTCTATGTGCACCTGCCACTAGAGGGGATGGAGATCTTTGTCAGTGGGTTTCACAGGAATTTGCTAAGGAAAGGCAAATGAATATTGAGATTTAGGAACAGTGTGTTCACTCTTCCTGTAGGGGACTATGGTCTAGTGGGTGCAGATCCCTTTACCCCCATCCCCCTAGCATCTCCCTGTCCTATTCTGCTCATATCCCTTCATCACTGCTGCTATCCCCCCAGCTCCTGCCCCAGTCCCCCTACTACTTTTTTACTCCTTTCTAACTCCCACCTCTTCCTGGTTTGCCCCCCCACCCCGCACACCTTCCTCCTATCCTGTACCCCTGACTCCTACCATTGCTCCTGCCTGTCTCCTCCCATCTTCCAGCTCCTGACTTTTAGTTCCTACCTCTGTCCCTGTCTCCTGCTTATGACCCCCCACACTCCTATTTTCCCCCACATTCTGAGAACAGGAAATATTACTGTAAAGGTAAATACCAGGATGTGGCAAAGCTCCCCCTTTTAATAAAACCACATCCACTCTATGAGGGATTGGAACCCTTACTACAAATACACTGAAACCTCTGCAAGTGTGGCCCTGCCAACGTGCGACATGCCCCCAGCTCTGCAGCTTTGATACAGCTAGCTGTTTGTAAATTGTAGGAACACTAAAGAGTTATCATGCATGTAGTTCACACCCTGAGCGTCATCAAACAAGCTACCTGGAACTATGCAAGGGCCTAAGCAAAGAGAGTTTTACCATAGGGACTAATCCTGCAGCTGTTCCTGACATGAATACCCCCACTGACTGTAAAGGGACTACTCACAATGGTATGGGCATAAGGATTGCACAGGATCATGTTTTGAGTATGGGAGAGACTATGCAAATGAGAAGCAGCAATGCTGGTATTGGAGTGACAATGCTGGTTGATGTATTAAACCCTTGAGCATGCCCAGGATGAACGAAGGATGAGATTTTCAAAGCCACTGTGACAGACCCAGACCAGTGGTGTACAGGAGTCTGGTAGAGGGCAAATATACTGGTCACTGGATGAGTAGTTTTCTGTTCCCTGAGTGACCAGAGCAGGGGCTGCACTAGAGTAATCAGGAACCTGCTAGAACCAGTTAAGGCAGGCAGGCTAATTAGGACACCTGGAGCCAATTAAGAAGAAGCTACTAGAATCAATTAAGGCAGGCTAATCAGGGCACCTGGGTTTTAAAAAAGTAGCTCACTTCAGTTTGTGGTGTGAGTGTGAGTAGCAAGAGGCACAAGGAGCTGAGAGGGAAAGGGTGTGCTGCTGGAGGACTGAGGAGCACAAGTGTTATCAGACACCAGGAGGAAGGTCCTGTGGTGAGAATAAGGAAGGTGTTTGGAGGAGGCCATGGGGAAGTAGCCCAGGGAGTTGTAGCTGTCATGCACCTGTTACAGTAGGCACTATAGACAGCTGCAGTCCACAGGGCTCTGGGCTGGAACCCGGAGTAGAGGGCGGGCCCGGGTTTCCCCCAAACCTCCCAATTGACCTGGACTGTGGGTTCTTCCAGAGGGGAAGGTCTCTGGGCTGTTCCCCAACCCACATGGTGAATCTCTGAGGCAAGAAAATCCACCAATAAGTGCAGGACCCACCAAGATAGAGGAGGAACTTTGTCACAGCCACCTAATGGATTTTAACACCCAAATTGAGGCATCCAAATCTTTTAGGCAGCCTGAATGTTTCCAGAAGCCTGAACACTGGCAGACTGAGCTGAGTGCTCATGCATTTCCCAAGAGCACTGAGCCTTCTAGTCCTGACTCACGGATGCTTATTAAATGTTCTGGGATGCAGGATCAAGACCACAGTGACTGACTTTACTTGCTTGGGAGGAGCGATTTCTATTCCATTCAGGGTCTCAGACCACCTCCCTCATTGTGGTATCTGAGTGCCTTCCAATGAGAAATAAACAAGTCACTGGCAACTGTGTAATGCATCTCCCAGTCCATCTCCTCTCCCCAGAACAGGACCATGTTTTCGTTGCTTATCCTGCTAGCCTCTGTAACTTACTATACATTACATAGGAGACTTCATGAAACTTATCTATCTGAATATAACAATTTCTCCCACAAAGAGCTTGTAGAAGTCTCATCAGCCATCTGGTATTTTTATTTCTCCAAGCTGAGAAAGCAATCATAGCCAATCCTCCTGCGAACTATGGAGGTCAGGTTTTATTTCTCACTTTTCTATAGCAATAACTCTTTACAGGATGAAGTAGGCCAAAGACCCTAAAATCTGTACACTTCTCTGCTCTTATAGGACCCTGATGCTTGATGACTGCCAGACAGTATGTGGTTCCAGTCCAGAAGAATGAAATTCTCAGAGTATTTGGTCAAAGGCCTGATATATTGTAATATAATTTGCATTTGTTGAACCTACAACTGGACAGCTTACACAGTCTTCCCAGGACCATAGGGGAATTTGGGTTACCCAGGAATATTAGGACTAACATAGACATGTTTCTGGGTACAGTTTTGTGGAAGTCATTGAAGCTGACAAATTGGTGATGATCTAAATCCTAAATTACCATTTTCCTTCACTTGCCTGAGAGATACATAACACATAAATACTGAGAACTATTCTAAGGAATAAAGAAAGTCATCATCTCCTTTCCAGTGTAAAGTGTGGTACGCTATGACCTTTGCAACTCTTAAGACAGACACGTTTTAGAGTAAACTGAAACTCCTTGCCCATAAATCAACATCTAACTTGAATGAATTATGAAAGAATATATTCCTAGTGCACCACACTAGCACAGAACCATCTGTCCAAGATAGTATGCAGTGTTGTTGTAGCTGTGTCAGTCCCAGGATAGTAGAAAGAGAAGCTGGGTGAGGTAATATCTTTTATTGGACCAACTTCCACTGGTGAGAGACATTCACTTTCGAGCTTACACCGAGCTCTTCTTCAGGTCAGAAGTTGGACCAATAACAGATATTACCTCACCCATCTTGTGTCGCTAATGTCCAAGATAGTGTTTAGGATCAACCTACATTTAAAATTGTTCCCACCTCCCCCACACACATTCACACAATCACTTACCTAGTTTGCTGGGACCTTGCTCTCTTTGCTGAATTAAGCTCACCCTATTTAGAAGATTTTTACTCTCTTGTGGCATGTTCCATGAAATTTCAAGGGTGTTTGCCCTTGCATACTGGAGAACTGACACTTGAGTCGAGGTATTGCCTGAAGCGGAAAGCAGAAGACAAATGATATAAATAAAAGACAGTCCATCTGAACAATTTAAAAATAAATCTGAAGTCACACTTTATATTAAGTAGAGCTGGTTGGGAATTTTCCATCAGAATGATTTTCTGAAGGAAAATGCAGTTTCCAGAAAATTGAAGTTTTCCACAGGGAAAAAGAATCTTAGTGTTGATAAAAAAAATTCCATTGAGAAAAATTTAAATGAAATTTTTTATTGTGTCAGTGTGACTCACACAGGAATATTTTGTTTTGCTGAACCAACCTGAAATGTTTTGTTTGAATCAGTTCAAACTGCATTTCCCTAACAGTTCATTACCTTATGGGAGTTGTAGTTTGGGTCCCATTCTCTCCTGTGCCCTGATTCCATGGTAGATTAAAGAGACTGGTGGTATTTAGCCAAGATGTTCACATCAAGACCAAACTTTTCAAGCAATAGATCCATGCACCTAAGCATGGGAGGGAATCATGTTGTCAGGACTGGGACATAAGCAGCATGTCTAGTGGCTGGAATCAGAGTCAGGAGCCATGCCAAGGGCTCAAGCGAGAGTTGGAGACCATGGTCAAGGATCAGGAACAAGGCAGGAACCAGAAACAGGTCAGGAAAGCAGGAACCAGAAGCATGGCAAGGAAGCCAGCTTCAGGAGTCAGGCAAGGCATGGTCCAATATAGCAGCCAGGTAGAGCCCAGTTGTGCAGACAACTTCCTGTGCCTTTCTTGGGTTTAAATAGGAAACTCTGACCAATCAGAGGTCCTGCCGCTCCTCCACTCAGGGCCCAGGAAGGCCAGCCTGTTGTGGCTTCAGGTTTCCTGGTCTCTCCGCTTGGGTGGGAATAAGGCAGCAACAGTTGCCTGGGAACCCTGCGGACCCAGGTTTGAGACCTGTGGGTTCATGACACTTGCCCTCTTGAAACAAGATATTATCCCCCTCCCTCAAGAATGTAGTCAGGACATTCCCACTAGTTATCAGCCAGGATGGATATGATTCTGACCCACCAGTACTGGAACCAAGTGCACCACTTCCTGTATCTTGACAAAAGAAACAGCTTAAATTTCAACTGACACCACACCAGGATGTTCCTCATCCTCCTTGGACACGGTCACTAGAATGGGAGCCAACTGAAATCCAGGCGATCACTCACACATTGAAATTTAAGCTTCAACACTTTTTTTTTTTTTTTGGTTTAAATCGGGGTGTATGTCTAAAGTATCAGGGTCAATACTGTCATGGCCCTTACACAAACAAAGCAAGAGTAAAAGAAAACTGTGTTAGAGTTAAAGGGCTATTTACTTACTGATGCCATAGTTTTCAATAAATGCTTTTACAAAACTTTTCATTTCCTCAAACTCTGATGCTCCAACACTGGAACTTCCATCCAGAAGAAACATGATATCCATTGGTCTGCTGCAAGGTTCTGAAAAGAATATAAAAAGGCTTCTTATATAAGATAGCCATACCAAGCGTCTGCTGAATAAGGAAAGGAAGATGGAAGGAAAAGGACAGTAGACAACTGGAGTTTGGGAAAACAGTGGGGCGGTGTTCTGTTGATACAAGCAGTAACTTCCTCTATGTCAAAACATACTAAGCTGTATGTTCAACATGAGAGCTTTGCCCCCCAGGTCTCCAAGTAGGACATCTCATGAACATTCCTGAACCCAACAAATCTTTGAGGTTTTGCTTTACTTGGCAGTGGTGAGGCCTCAGCTGATATGCCAGGTCCATTTTTGAGCACCACACTTTCAGAAGAGATGTGGACAAACTAGAGACAGTCCAGAGGACAACAACAAAAATGATAAGAGGTGTAGAAAATCTAACCTATGAAGAAGGGTTGAAGGAACTGGGCATGTTTTGTCTAGAGAAGAAAAGGCTGAGGGGGAACATGGTAAGAGTCTCCAAATATTTAAAGGGTTGTTGTAAAGAAGACAGTGATCAATTGTTCTCTGTGGCCACTACGGGTAGGAGAAGTAGAAATTGGTTTAGTTTGCAGCACAAGAGATTTAAGTTAAATATTAGAAAAAACTTTCTAACTATAAGGATAGTTAAGTACTGGAACAAGTTATGTAGGGAGACTGTGGAATCCCTATCACTGGGGGCTTTTAACAACAGGTTACCTATGAGGGATGGTATAGGTACATTTAACCCTGCCTCAATGGGGGATGAAGTAGATGAACTCTTGAGGTCTCTTCCAGCCCTACATTTCTATGCATCTGACAAAGTGGGTATTCACCCACGAAAGCTTATGCTCCAATACATCTGTTAGTCTTAAGGTGCCACAGGACTCTCTGTTGCTTTTTACATTTCTATGATTCACAAAAGTTTCATGGTGAAATAATCAAACCTAGAAGCAGAGAGAGGAAGTGATTTTAACCTCTGATGGGCAGGCAGATTAAAACAATATGGGTCCATCAGCTATTATTTAATGACCTGAAAATCAAAAAGGAATCCTATAAAATGTCTAAACATGGACAAATTACTAAGGAGGTGTACAAAAGAACAGCACAAGAATGAAGGCTAAGGCACAAAATGAATTACACTTAGCAAGGGACTTAAAAGGTAACCAGAAGAGGTTCTTTAAATATATTTGGAACAAGAGAAGGATGAAGGAAAGTGTAGATCCTGTACTTAATGGGAAAGGAAAGATAATAACTGATGACATCAAGAAGACTGAAGGGTTTAATGCCTATTTTGCTTCAATCTTCACTAAAAAGGTTAATGTTGACCAGATTCACAACACAATTAATATTAACAACAAGGGTGAAGAAATGCAAGAAAGAATAGGTTAAAGAATGTTTAGATAAGTTAGATATATTCAAGTCAGCAGATCCTGATGACATTCCTCCTAGGGTACTTAAGGGACTAGTTGAAGCAATCTCAGAACTATTAACACTTATCTTTGAGAACTCCTGAAGGACAGATGAGGTCCCAGAGGACTACAGAAGGACAAACATAATACCTATCTTTAAAAGGGGAACAAAGAGGACCTGGGGAATTTTAGACCAGTCAGTCTAACTTTGATACCCAGAAAGATACTAGAACAAATTATTAACAATCAATTTGTAAGCACCTCCAGTACCATAGGGTTAAAAGGAATAACCAGCATGCATCTGTCAAGAACAAATCATGCCAAACCAACCTAACTTCCTTCTTTGACAGGATTACTGGTTGACTGGATAAGGAAGAAGCATTAGATGTGATGTATCTTGATTTTAGTAAGGCTTTTGACAGTCCCATGTGACATTCTCATAAGCAACCTAGGGAAATGTGATCTAGATGAATTTATTATAAGGTGAGTGCACAAGTGGTTGAAAGACCATATTCAACAACAGTTCACTGTCAAATTGGGAGGGCATATCTAATGTTGTCCCATAGGGGTCAATTCTAGGTCTGGTACGATTCAATATTTTCATTAATGACTTGAATAATAGAGTGGAGAGTATGCTTCTATAATTTGTGGATAAAACCAAGCAGGTGGGGTTGCAAGCACTTTTGAGGACAGAATTAGAATTCCGAATTGACCTTGACAAATTAGAAAATTGGTCTGAATTCAACAAGATGAAATTCAATAAAGACAAGGACAAAGCACTTTACTTAGGAAGGAAAAAAAATCAAATACACAACTAAAAATGGAGAACAACTAGCTAGGTGGTGGTATTGCTGAAAGGGATCTGAGGGTTATAGTGGATCACAAATTGAATATGAGCAATGTGATGCAGTTGCAAAAAAGACTAATGTAATTCTGGGGTGTATTAACAGAGCACTGTATGTAAGAGACAGGAGCTAGTTGTCCTGCTGAATTTTGCACTGGTGAGGCCTCAGCTGGAGTGCTGTGTCCAATTCTGAACACCACACTTTAGGAAAAATATGGACAAATTGGAGAGAGTCCAGAGGAGAGCAACAAAAGTGATAAAAGTTTCAGAAAACCTGACTTATGAGGAAAGGTTAAAAAAAAACTGGGCACATTTAGAAACAAAAGACTGAGGAGGGACCTATTAACAGTCTTCAAATAGTAAAGGGCTGTTATAAAGAGGACAGTGATAATTTGTTCTCCGTGTCCACTGAAGGTAGGGAAAGAAGCAATGAGCCTAATCTGCAGCAAGGGAGATTTCGGTTAGATATTAGGAAAAGAGTTCTAACTATAAAGGTAGTTAAGCTCTGGAATAGGTTTCCAAGGAAGGTTGTGGAATCCCCATCACTGGAGGTTTTTAAAACCGGTTGGGCTAACACCTGTCAGGGATGGTCTAGGTTTACTTGGTCCTGCCTCAGCACAGGGGGCTGGACTTGATAACTTCTCAACGTCCCTTCCAGTCCTACATTTCTATGACCCTAAGTTCACCTTCCACCCCCACTCCGATCAACTTGGACAGCAACATGCAAAGCAGAATCCATCCCTGATTCCAGAGAAAGCCTGATGAGAAAGAAAATACGTAGAAAATATATCCAACTTTACCTGGAGGTTCTGAGGGCAATCTGGATTTACTTGAGCAGCACGTTTTCAACACTAAGTCAGGTGCTTCTCGAATAAGTTCGTTATAACCCTCTATGATTATTGGGGTGTGCCGTTGACTGATCTTCTCAAGCTCTTGAATGTTCGCATTGGGGGTAATACCTATAGGGATCACATTTATGCCACTTGCAACACGTGAGATGACATCAGTGGCAGGGTTTGCAGTTACCATGTACACTAAGTGTGGCACTTGTCCCCTGCCTCCATTGTCTGTGGTAAATGTGTGTTCAGAGACATAGCTGAGGGCATTTCCAGTGTTGGTGGCATTCCCGCCTTGGTACTGTATCTTCTTCACCACCTCAATAATGTCTTGCTTTGACTGTGCTTCACTGAAGGAGTACTCAACAGTGACAGTGTACGAGTACTGTATGATAGTAATATGAATGGTTTCTTCTCCTATGTCCATTTCTCTGATAACTTTTACAATGAAACTCTTGATTATATTGAAGTTCTCCTCTCCTACTTTTTCAGACCCTTCAACAACAAAAGCTATATCAAGCACTTTGGAAATCTCTTTACTTGGCAATGGGGTCGTAGCTAATCTCGTGGACTCCCAGACTGGATAGCGTACCGTCACAGTAGCTGCCCGGGGCGAGATTGTAATAGGTTTTTGGGTGGTAGTTGTTAACACATCACTTTCTTCAGGTACAAGATCACACAGGTAATTGATTATTTCATCCCTGTTTTCCATTAACTCCTGTACATTGTTCATTATGAAGGCCTTGTTTTCTGGCCACTGCCTTTCAATTAGCTTGATTTGCTCCATACTAATAGACGGTCCAATTCCTACTGGTATTACTGTGACTTTCTTCTTTTGCAGAAGAGTGAGGATGCGCTGAATATTTCCTGGAGACTTGCTGGCTGTCAACAACAGAGCAATTCTGGCAGCATTTGTCCTTGGTGCTTTTCCAAACACATGGAATACAATATATTTAAGCACTTCAGTGGCAGAGGCAACTTCTCCACCAGTGTATTTTATGTTTTGGACAATTTTCCTCATCTGAGATTGTGTTTTAATATCTTTGAGCCCAAGATAGATGTTGGAGCCAGTGCGGTATTCCAGAATTGACACTCGGATTTTCTTTTGGGAGATGTGGAGTTTTTCCATCATGCTAATTATGAAATCTTTTAACAGTTCAAAGTCCTTTTCTGAGAGTTTGTTGGAACCATCCATCAGAAAGGCCAGGTCCATCATTTTGCTGCAGGAGTATACACGTGTCCCTATGTCTATATCTGTTTCTTCTGTAGCAACTGGCGTTGGTATAATGATTTCTTCCTCTCTCTCTTCTGACTCACAGGCACTACATGTTAAGTTCTTTCCTTCACAGTGACTGCAAGAACCACCAAAAAACTAGCGGTAAAATGAACTTCGATAACAATACACCACCCCTGATTTAATACAGTTATATCTTATATAGAAATGAGTAAACAAGCAAGTCAGCATGAACATATAATTTGCCATGCCAGATTGGATCTATGGACTATCAAGTTCCATATCCTACCTTGCTCAGTACTCTATGATTGTTGCTTCAGAGGAAAGAAAACTGCCACCAATGGTGCTACCTGGCAAATTGTGCATAGTGGGAAAATCTCCTTATTCCTGCAGCAATCCTGGGACACCCAATAATGGAATCATTACTTATGGACTCTCTTACTGGGGGGGACGGATAGCTCAATGGTTTGAGCATTGGCCTGCTAAACCCAGGGTTGTGAGTTCAATCCTTGAGGGGGCCACTGAGGGATCTGGGGCAAAATCAGTACTTGGTCCTGCTAGTGAAGGCAGGGGGCTGGACTCAATGACCTTTCAAGGTCCCTTCCAGTTCTAGGAGATAGGATATCTCCATTAATTTATTTATGGAAATACACTAATGTATGCATGCAGGAAGCATGTGAAAAGTACTAAGTTTATTAGATAAATGTCTTTTCCCCAGCTGTTTTTGATTGAACATTCGTCATATCATGGAAACATGACACCAAGTGGAGGGCTACATAGAAGTCACTGGGATTTGTAGGCACCACTTCTGGTGAACATGGCCAGTAGATTTGGTTTGCACCCTCTGGTTGTATCTTCACTAGGAAAAAAGGTTTATTCTTAACTTGAGTTATTTAACTTGAGTGAACTAACGAGAGGTAAAATCCTCGTGAAGACAAGGCAGTTTGTAATTGAACATGAGTTAGCATGCTGAGTTAAGGACTTTGAGGGAGTCAAGGGTTTACCTTGACCTGCTAACTCATGTGAAAACTGCACACTGCCTTGTCTTCACGAGGATTATACCTCAGGTTAGTTCGCTGAAGTTAGCTAACTCGAATTAAGAACACACCTTTTTTTCCAGAGTGAAGACCAAGCCCCTCTGGACTGTGCCTCATGTCATGGGTTTGTTCACACCTGAAATCTTAAACTGAAGTTTCATACATAGAAAACCATCCAATTCTAATGGCCTTTTGCCATTGTCATTATGAAATCAATTAAATTCACCTGGATCCCTTTGCTCCCCTTCCTGTGTTTTTAGATCTTATTATTACTCTTATTTCTCTCTCACACACATTGCCTTTTTCTTATTATCTTGACTTTAGATTTTGCCATGTGTATTTTGCTCCTGTATTTTTTATTTTACCTTATTTTTCTCCTCTTCCCTGTACTAAAATTCTTCTAGCTCTTTTCTTCTCTCTTTCTCTCAGTCCCTTTTCTCTTCCCTTCTCTTCCCTTCTCTCAAAAAAAGTAGGAGCTGCCCTCTCTTCCTTAGTCCTACTCTCTTTCCTTACTCCTCTTCTCTTCTAAATCTTCCCCTCCACTCATATCCATTGGCACATTCCCACTTTTGCCTCCTCTGCATGTTCCCATCCTTTTTTCCACTTTCTTTATGGGCCTCCATTTCTCCCTTACTCCTCTCTCTTCACCTTTCTCTCTCCCCCATAAGTTTTCCCATCTACTGCCCATCTCCCGTATCTACAGCCTTGCAGGAGATTGCTTGTGCTCCCTTAGCGTGTCTTCAGCAGCTTCTACATTGCCAAATCCATCTGTTCTGTGCTCTTTGCTCTGCCTGACTGAGGAAGGAGCACTCCTGAACCCAAGCACAGGCTAGTGGAGTACCACTCAATGCATTTTTCCAAGTCTATTGGACAGTAGGAGACACAGAGTAGGGAAAATGTGTGAAATGGCATTTTTCTCTCCAGAAATAGAAGAGACACTAGAAAAGATGGAGAAAATTCAGGATTTTCTGAAAAATCTGGGCAACTGGGAGGTTCTTGGTTTGGTTTTACGTTTATTAACGCTATAACTATGGTATTTTCAAAATTCTTTACCTATTGAATCAGATGCACTGGGGATATTTGATAATGCACAGAATACACTGAGCAGGATTCCTCTGTAATCTCCGCTATGAAGGGCACAATTGAATGGCTCCAAAACCACTCAGATCACTCATAGTAGTGATGGACAAAACAGTCTGGCAAAAATTAGAGGTATGCCAAACCTCAAAATAGAGCAGGACCAGAAACAAAGCACTTTTTGGATTCAAATACTTTTGCAATCTCTCTCAAGTTATTTCTAGAGCTCCCATCACCACAGTATGTAAGATAGCACTATGGAGACACTGCTGGCATTTCCCCCCACTGTTAAAACAGAGGAGCGACACTCTTCTAGCTCACAGCTCCAGGCAATGAGAGCTGTATATACTGTGTGGGATCAAGGACAAAACATAACTTCAGTGGAGTTACTCGGGATTTACAGTGGAGTAACTGAGATCAGAAACTGGTCCATACTCTTTAAATTATGGTTTTGCTCTGAAAATTTGCTCTAAAAATTGAATCTTGTGGTTCCACCTTTGTCATCTTTCAATGATTTCAGCGAGCAAATGTGTACAGTTTATAAGTAAAAGATTTGCTTTTTCCTAACTATCAGAGCTTCAAATTCCAACCCGGGATCTGAGAGACAAGCTGAATTCTTTCCTTCTCACACATTATCACCAGCTTCCTTGGGCCGGCCAAACTCTTTCCTCAATGGCTCCTCTGAAATTTTGCTGTCTTCAATGTGGTTGCACAAGCATAACTGTTTGGAACTTAGTAAACAATTCTGTTGAATATGCATGTGAAGGGAGGGATTGCAGCCTCTTCCCTCTGAGCCATGCCAGCTTTGCACTGTTAACTAGAATGATGGGCAGTAAACACTTATTTTCTTCACTAACGAAAGCAATCCAGAGAGCAGTCTACTAAGTAAGAAGATGCCATTTTTCAGAGCAAAACAGCACTTTAAATGTGACATCCAAATTCAAGCTCTCCCAAGGCTGTGTTCTTTCTTTTAGTTTCTTAATTGAAGAATACACAACTCCCTTTGGCATTTAGCATATTGTAACATATATGATTTATTATTTTAATCCTAATGCAATATTTTGTGAATGAGATTCCAATTTCCTTTGGATATTTGCTATAAAATTCATTTTTGTACAATATTTTCTATTGTTTGTACAGATGGTGTAGGCATCTAAATTAGGTGACAGCTACGTGCAAAGATGTTTCCCTAGTGAGGTAAGTTTACATAATGTTCTAAAACCTTATGTGAGTGGTGGTTAGTGTATTAGCATTAAAGATAAATTATTATTAAGTATTGTGAAAATTAGGGAACTGGTTTACGTAGATGCATTTTTGACCTTTTGATGGAATTCAGGGCTTGCAATTTATACTGTTAAAAGAAAATACATTACTTAATTAATCAACATAACAGAACCAACTCCATGGGGCTTATAAAACAGAGTTAGTTACTACCAGTGACAGGCCAGAGATTCAAAGTTCAGACCCAGTCTGAACTTCCAAAATGTTCAGGGTGTTTGGATCTAGGGTTTTAGTCTGAGCCCATAGTTTTTGCAGCTCTACATTCACTTCTATTAAATGTGGGCAAATTATGTTGTGGAAAACTTTCTTATATTTACAGCACTATGCCTGACTAATGGAAGTATCCATCCATCAAAGGGCTGGGTATCTGAAGAATGCCAAAATTATGGATGCTAGAGAGCTAAATTCACACTTTTATGCACCTTGCTACTGTACAGGACACAAAAATAATGAGTTCCTCCCTCAAAGCAATGTAAGGCCCTGATTCTGCATAGTGCTTACCCTACTATGCATGATCCCATTGACTTCATTAAGCCTGGTTGCATGTACTTACAGGACTGGGCCCTAGAATACCTTCAGTAAATCTTGGGGAAGTTACTTTTCCAATTACAAAGCATAACCTCCCAGCACCTACTAGTCTTGGTGGTGTTCTAGAGAGATCACACATTCATATCCTTAACTTTATATAGGATTTTAAAGTATTGAGATAGGGCCAAATTCTGATACCTTACTCATGTTGAATAGTATCTTATTCCAAAAATGGAGTCAACAGGATCACTCGTGGAGTAGGGCTAGGTTTTTCAAAGCAACCTTATGGAGTTTTATACCTCATTCCCATTTAATTTCAATAGAATTTGCGTGCCTAATACCTTTAGTCTTGTTTAAAAATTTCAGGTTCTATGGTGCATGAAAAAGGGCATCATATTCAGGCCCATAATAGTACATTCAAAACTATATTCACAGTATATTCATGAGAATGCACTTCATTTGTGCCCTCATAAAAGACACTCGTGTTGAATAAAAATCTATATCTTACCATGATAGACAATGTTCATCTTTGTTCAAAACAACCCTCTTTCCATGGGGGATCCTGGCACCTTCTAATATACATACAGGACAGCTTTCTGGATCAATGCATGACTGGGATAGTTCATCAAGTATTTTTCCTGTTTTAAAACAGCATAGCAGGGTTTCATAAGTTGCAAAGCAGATGTTAAGCTGATCCTTGTATTTAGCAGCCTTAAAAATATGACAAGATCAATGATACTGGGATTGGGCTCAAAGGTTCAGAACATGCTCTACATATTAAACTAGCTGTTAGTTTGACACCAAGTAAATCTTTATTTTCTTCCATAGCATTTTTATTGAGATACTAACACCAGTGCATAGTATATGCAGTAGCTCATGCTACACACAGGGTGAATGTATTTTTAGACTAAAAACCAGGTGTGCCAGAAGAAAATGGCATTTACACTTTTACATCCTCATTACTGATTTTTCTTGGTCCCTTTGGGCATCTTTTACTGCATCCTTGTAGGGTGATTTATCATTTTCTCCCCATTATGACTATTCATCTTAGGTATTACTAGTGCATCTGTCACTCTAAGGGTAGGTCTACACTAGAAGCGCTACATCAGCCCAGCTGCACCGATGCACCTGCGCCACTGTAGAGCATCTGGTGAAGACGCTATATGCCAATGGGAGAGCACACTCCTATCGGCATAATTATCCACCCTCGTGAGAGGCGGAAGCTGTATTGGTGGGAGAGCATCTCCCGCCGACATAGAATGGTATGGACACCGCTTAGGTCACTGTAACTTGTGTTGCTCACGGGGGTGTCTTTTTCACAGGCCTGAGTGATGCAAGTTAGATCGACTGAAGCAGTAGTGTGGACCTGCCCTGATATTTAAGTGCTAAACACCATACTACATAAAGATGTACCTAGTGGATTCTGCTCTCACTACTCCCTGGATTGATAGCTCTGCTCTGTGTGCATACAGGGGACTTGGTGAGGGGGATGGACTGGTTTTGTGGTTGTTGGTCCTACAATACATAGTTTCCTCCTCTCCTCAACTCTCTGCCCTTCTGACTTATTCTTCTCAATTTTCTATCTCATTTTGTCCTCTGCACCCTTTCTCACTTTCCCTCTCCCCTCCTTTTTTTAATCTTTCTTCCTCCTCTTTATTCTTCCTTCCCTTCTTTGATTTCTATTCCCTTCCCCTGCCTTCCTTGCTCTCCTCCTATCTTCCTCTCTCACTCCCTGCACCGTCCTCCTTTAAAGGCTCTGCTGTCTCTGCCCACAATGTTTCTCTCCATTCCCTAATGTCCATCCAGAGCCTCCATGGCCTCAATGCACTGTGTGCCTCTCAGAAGTTCTAACCCAAGCGTGGGTTTCACTCCTAATTCCTGACTTCGAACAGCTGAAAGGTGTAGAGGGAGATTTCTAACTGTGTGGCCAGTGGAGCACAGAAAACAGGAACAATATGGGACACAGGAAGTTAAGTCCAGGTGAGATGCCCTAGGATTCCACTGAGATCTGGTCAAAACCCTGGTTTCAATATAATCATTCCGGACATCTCCAGAAAACCAGGATGAGCCTAGTAAACTGGAACATCTGGTCACCGCCTTCTTACCTTGATGGAAACAATGATGCAAGCACACCAGTAAGATTGTTAAAGATTTAACTTTTGCATATGAAAATTTCACAGCCATTGAGCTTACAAATCTGCTTATTTCCAGTCTTAAAAAAAAACATTTCCTGCAACGTTCCGGGGGAGGAGGGAGTACAAAGATACCAGTAAGTGATAAGAGCTGAGCAGGAAAAGCTGACTAACTGTGTAAAGAAGACAGTGGGTTTACCTTCAGGACAGTTCACATGGCATCCTTCTACACATTGCAGAGGGCACACCACAGGTTCAAAGTGCTGGCATGTTATAGGGCAGGCAGGTCCACAGCTGTTATATCTCCATTCACACTGATACTCCAATTCGTGCTTATTCAGATCCTCACAACTTTGTGCTATGCAATAAGAAGCATCAGTTAAAAAAGTCATCTCCGATTGCATTCACCATGGCTCTTAGATCCCAGGCAGAAGGCTTGGAGTTACATATATCATAGAATCATAGAATATCAGGGTTGGAAGGGACCTCAGGAGGTCATCTAGTCCAACCCCCTGCTCAAAGCAGGACCAACCCCAACTAAATCATCCCAGCCAGGGCTTTGTCAAGCCTGACCTTAAAAACCTCTAAGGAAGGAGATTCCACCACCTCCCTAGGTAACGCGTTCCAGTGCTTCACCACCCTCCTAGCGAAAAAGTTTTTCCTAATATCCAACCTAAATCTCCCCCACTGCAACTTGAGACCTTGTTCTGTCATCTGGTACCACTGAGAACAGTCTAGATCCATCCTCTTTGGAACCCCCTTTCCGGTAGTTGAAAGCAGCTATCAAATCCGCCCCTTTTCTTCTCTTCTGCAGACTAAACAATCCCAGTTCCCTCAGCCTCTCCTCATAACTCATGTGCTCCAGACCCCTAATCATTTTTGTTGCCCTCCGCTGGACGCTTTCCAATTTTTCCACATCCTTCTTGTAGTGTGCGGCCCAAAACTGGACACAATACTCCAGGTGAGGCCTCACCAATGTTGAATAGAGGGGAACGATCACGTCCCTCGATCTGCTGGCAATGACCCTTCTTATACAGCCCAAAATGCCGTTAGCCTTCTTGGCAACAAGGGCACACTGTTGACTCATATCCAGCTTCTCGTCCATTGTAACCCCTAGGTCCTTTTCTGCAGAACTGCTGCCTAGCCACTCGGTCCCTAGTCTGTAACAGTGAATGGGATTCTTCCATCCTAAGTGCAGGACTCTGCACTTGTCCTTGTTGGACCTCATCAGGTTTCTTTTGGCCCAATCCTCTAATTTGTCTAGGTCCCTCTGTATCCTATCCCTACCCTCCAGCGTATCTACCACTCCTCCCAGTTTAGTGTCATCTGCAAACTTGCTGAGAGTGCAGTCCACGCCGTCCTCTAGATCATTAATGAAGATATTGAACAAAACCGACCCCAGGACTGACCCTTGGGGCACTCTGCTTGAAACCGGCTGCCAACTAGACATGGAGCCGTTGATCACTACCCGTTGAGCCCAACAATCTAGCCAGCTTTCTATCCACCTTATAGTCCATTCATCCAGCCCATACTTCTTTAACTTGCTGGCAAGAATACTGTGGGAGACCGTATCAAAAGCTTTGCTAAAGTCAAGGAATAACACATCCACTGCTTTCCCCTCATCCACAGAGCCAGTTATCTCCGCATAGAAGGCAATTAGGTTGGTCAGGCATGACTTGCCCTTGGTGAATCCATGCTGACTGTTCCTGATCACTTCCTCTTTTCTAAGTGCTTCAGAACTGATTCCTTCAGGACCTGCTCCATGATTTTTCCAGGGATTGAAGTGAGGCTGACTGGCCTGTAGTTCCCCGGATCCTCCTTCTTCCCTTTTTTAAAGATGGGCACTACATTAGCCTTTTTCCAGTCATCCGGGACCTCCCCCGATCGCCATGAGTTTTCAAAGATAATGGCCAATGGCTCTGCAATCACATCCACCAACTCCTTTAGCACCCGCGGATGCAGCGCATTCGGTCCCATGGACTTGTGCTCGTCCAGTTTTTCTAAATAGTCCCGAACCACTTCTTTCTCCACAGAGGGCTGGTCACCTTCTCCCCATACTGTGCTGCCCAGTGCAGCAGTCTGGGAGCTGACCTTGTTCGTGAAGACAGAGGCAAAAAAATCATTGAGTACATTAGCTTTTTCCACATCCTCTGTCACTAGGTTGCCTCTCTCAATCAGTAAGGGGCTCACACTTTCCTTGACTTTCTTCTTGTTGCTAACATACCTGAAGAAACCCTTCTTATTACTCTTAACATCTCTTGCTAGCTGCAACTCCAAGTGTGATTTAGCCTTCCTGATTTCACTCCTGCATGCCTGAGCAATATTTTTATACTCCTCCCTGGTCATTTGTCCAATCTTCCACTTCTTGTAAGCTTCTTTTTTGCTTTTAAGATCAGCAAGGATTTCACTGTTTAGCCAAGCTGGTCGCCTGCCATATTTACTATTCTTTCTACACATTGGGATGTTTTTTTCCTGCAACCTCAATAAGGATTCTTTAAATTACAGCCAGCTCTCCTGGACTCCTTTCCCCCTCATGTTATTTTCCCAGGGGATCCTGCCCATCAGTTCCCTGAGGGAGTCAAAGTCTGCTTTTCTGAAGTCCAGGGTCTGTATTCTGCTGCTCTCCTTTCTTCCTTGTGTCAGGACCCTGAACTCAACCATCTTATGGTCACTGCCTCCCAGGTCCCCTTCCACTTTTGCTTCCCCTACTAATTCTTCCCGGTTTGTGAGCAGTAGGTCTAGAAGAGCTCTGCCTCTAGTTGGTTCCTCCAGCACTTGCTCCAGGAAATTGTCCCCTACACTTTCCAAAAACTTCCTGGATTGTCTGTGCACCGCTGTATTGCTCTCCCAGCAGATATCAGGGTGATTAAAGTCTCCCATGAGAACCAGGGCCTGCGATCTAGTAACTTCTGCTAGTTGCCGGAAGAAAGCCTCGTCCACCTCATCCCCCTGGTCTGGTGGTCTATAGCAGACTCCCACCACGACATAACCCTTGTTGCTCACACTTCTAATCTTAATCCAGAGACTCTCATGTTTTTCTGCAGTTTCATACCGGAGCTCTGAGCAGTCATACTCCTCTCTTACATACAATGCAACTCCC